ATTTTCTTTATCCATTCTTAATTTGAGGTACATCTAGGTAGTTTTTGAAATCTGGCTATTATGAATAATGTTTCTATGAACATAGTTGAGCAAATGTTCTTGTGTTATGAATGTGCCTCTTTTGGGTATAAGCCCAACAGTGGTATTGCTGTGTCTTGAGGTAGGTTGATCCCTAATTTTCTGAGAAATTGTCATACTGATTTCCAAAGGACTGTTCCCCTTTCTCCACATCCTCTCCAGCATAAGCTGTCGTTGTTTTTGATCTTACCTATTCTGATCAATGTGAGATGGAATCTCATAGTGGTTTTGATTTGCATTTCCCTAATGACTGAGGATGTTGAGCATTTCCTTAAGTGTCTTTCCATCATTTGAGATTGTTCTGTTGAGAATTCTCCATGTATCATCTTCAGGACTGAGTCAAAATGCATGTTGATTTTGGGTAGTTAAATGACTCTTTATGAATTTTGACTCAGTCCTGAATATTCACCCACATCCAAGTCTTTCTTCCTGGCCTTATCATGTTTCATGGTTGCTGCTATTTCTTTTAGTTTCAATTGATTCCAGGTTCTTCTTCAGATCCTCTATTGTAATCATTTAATTAATTACATAAATGATTGATTTATTTTGGTCCATTATAGGGTCCCCAGAAACTGACTGAGAAGCAACTTTTCATAATTGTGTCCGCAGGACAAGAATGAGTGCTAGGTCGGGATACACTTCTATAGAGATCAGGCAGAGTCCTTGGGATGCAGTTCGGTAGAGTTCAGGCAGAGTGCTTACTTGCCATGTGGTAGACCTGGGTTCAATTACCAGTACTTCCAAAACACAAAAGACAGACAGGTGCCAAATCTGAACCCTTGTCACTTCTTGCTCCCTGCTTTACAGATTTTGTCTGGTTTGATCTTGCACAGGTCTAGACACAGTCCCAGCCTTTGTGAGTGCCTGTGGACAGCGACACTGCCATACTCAGCAATGTTTGTGAGTGTGTGTGAACAACTATATTGTCATATCCAGCAATGTTTGTGTATATGCACAGCTACACTGCCATATCCAGCAATGCTTGTGAGTGTGTGTGCACAACTACTCTGTCATATCTAGCAATGTTTATGAATGTACGTGCACAGCTACACTGCCATATCCAGCAATGTTTGTGAGTTCGTGTGCACGACACTGTCATATTCAGCAATACTTGTGAGTTCATACACACAACTACACTGTCATATCCAGGAATGGTGTTTTCCTACAAAACTACTCGCTCTGACTCTTACAGTCTTTCTGCTCCCACTTTTGAGGGAAATAAAAACAACCTAGATATCAAAATTTAATAAATGAAATAAAAATTTATACAGAATCTCGATATACATCTCTATCTGACCTTGAACTCATAAAGCCACCCGATTCTGCTTCCCAGCGCAGGGCTTTAAAGATAGGAAAATTCTTAATGCTTTCCAAACAGAAGAGTCTGCTAAAATTTCTCCCCTCTGTCCATACATTAAGGAAATGCTAAATTTTAATTAGAGATTAAGGAAAATAAAAATGTCAAACTCCAAGTTCATAGATTAGCCATGAATTCTATCTATAGACTCAATGAAAAGATCACCATTGTTTAAAATGAAATGAGGAATACTGACTTATATGCCCAGCAGAGGCCACCTGGAACAGAAGAAAGACAGGCTTGGCAATCTACAGTTGTCCCGTCATTCTATAACCTGCATTTGTGTTTTCAGTTTGATGGGGGATGCTTTGATATTTGTTGAAATGTGTGCACTGTTTGTCAGAGAACTTGAAGGTGCTTATGATATTGAGTCATTTATTCACACTCTGTCTAGCTTATACTAACAGATAATCAGACTTCATGTGTGATTGCAATTAAAATATCTACCTTCAGCTACTGTCTACTGCCTCTGTGTGTTTTGGAGTGGATAACATTTAACCCTGTCTCACTGTGGCTTCCCAAACACTAGTTTCTCCTGATCTGGCTTGCCTTCCTTCTTTAGTGTCCCACGGGTCCCCTCTGATTCTTCTCATCTGTTTCACATTCTACCAACCAGAAAAAATAGGCATTTCTCTTATATCAGACTGTAGGGTGGCTTTCTGTTCATCTTTTCTACTACCTTTGTAAACATGTCAAGTACAACTTTACCTCTTTTTCCAAGTTCCTTATTATCTTTAACTGACTTAATCCCCATCTTTCCAGTTCTACACATACACACACACACACACACACACACACACACACACACACACACACAGACACACACCACACCACACCACACCACACCACACCACACCACACCACACCACACCACACCACACCATACCATCCAGGAAAACAATCTTGGACATGGATTTTTTTAGAGTGATGTGTAGGATGACAGGGGAAGAATAAGTCACCATAAGGATTGATGATAAGGAAATGTCAACCAAGTCTGTGGGTGTAGGGATGTCTGAAAAGAAATGATGTTTAGGTCGGAAATTAGATGGCTTATTGAGATCACACAACTGTCAGTTTAGGAATCGGAACTTGGGCATGTACTTGCTGTGTCGGAATCCACAGAGAGCAGGGAAGGAGGAAAAATGCAACTGTAGTTTACAACCTCAGAAAAGGCATTTGGGTCCCTGTGAAGCTGCCTGGTGACATACAGAGTAGAAACATGGGGCACACTCGGCATGGGTGGAAGCTAGCAGGACCCTAAGGCCAGTGGGGACCCTCTAGAAAGAAAGCTCAAATTGGGCAAAACCCTTGAATTTATTCTTTCAAAAGATCACCCCAACCATGGAAGAAGATGGTTTGGAAAAGGGCACAAGTCCCTGTAAGGAGTCCATTGGTAGTGACTCTAGAGCCAGCTCAGAGACAACATGCTGTCCCTGAAGGAAATCAGAGTCCATGTGATCTGTCTGTTTCTCGTTTACATGTTCCTCTACTCATAATACCACTATATATTTAAGATCCAGTGTCTAAAGTGTCTGCTGCCGGCCTCTTATTACTCCCATTTACCTAATTCAAACCTTCTTTTCTTGCCAAAAGTGTTCCAACCTCCTGTCCCTTCTTTTAGTTATCATTGAATTCCCCATCTCTACCTTCAAGTTACATGCAGGGATTAGTCCTTGGAAACACATTTGGTTGCTTCCAAATGCATTAAAACTATGCTCAAACTCTTCCTCTCTGTTCACAGCCTCCATTGTATCTGCTCTATGGCTGCTTCTGGTCTCCTCTACCCAAGAGCTGCTATCACCCGGTCCTCCTTCACTTGCTCCTTGATTCACGACACACGAATGTCCAGATATACCAAATGTTTCCCTTGACCCCGAGTATCATCTTCTCATTTGTTTTGCAAAGCTCCTGTGTCTCAGATTCATGCCAGGTTCACCTCCTCCAATTCCAGATGCCCCTTATCAGAGTTAGAATTTTCTTCTCTATCCATGTTCTAATCAGCCTTCTTACTCAGGCATTACCTCTCACAGTGTGTCTGGACAGGGTCTCCACTACATTGTGAGTTCCTGACAGGCCAAGAGAACTTCCACAGTCACTCCCATGTTCCATGTTTTGACTTGATTGTCCTTCCCTTTCCCTATTAGGAAATCAACAGACAATAAATTCATAGGTGAAAGTGTAGTGATTACATCCTGACACTGAGAACCTCTTGAGCCACATACCCAAACCTCAGTCTAGCTCTGATATTCTAGATTCATCTATTATACAAGACAGTTTTGTTAGCAACATTTTTTTATTTCTGAATATAAATAAATGGAGTTTCAAAAGAATACCAGTTAATAATTTTACTAAGAAATGCCGAGATCTGTGTTGAAAGCTAAAAATCATTTGATAACTATTTATCGAGTTCTGATTGTGTGGTAAGTGTGTGTGTGTGTGTGTGTGTGTGTGTGTGTGTTGCTAAAATCAAACCATGGCATCATACACAATAAGTACATGATCCACCACTGAGCTCCATCTCAGCCCCCAGCTGTGCACCTGTCTCTGGGCATTCAACCATGAATAAACCAGGATCATTGTTCTGGAAACATTTAACACATGATTTCATGAGGATAGGGATTTCTCCATTTATAGAAGAATATACATTTAGTAAACTGGAAACAAAGTGTTCACCCTTTCATCAAGATTCTATGTGTCTGCAATAACAACTGATGAAAGAGGACATGTGAATTTGAAGGAGAGTGGGGAGGGTGTATGAGAGGGCTTGGAGGAAGCACAGAGAAGGGAGAAACATAGTTATTGAAATGCAATCTCAGAAATAAACAACAACAAAAATGAAACTATGTGTCACCTAAATCAGTAGTGGAAAAAGTAGTCTGAAGGGCAATGCCAGAGTCTGGTGTCCACAGTAGACATGCTTCCATTATATTAAAAGTAATAAAGCAGAAAGATTGTTAGGATGCTGTTGATTGGCATTTGTCTAAGCTGTGCTTGTTGCCACCATCTTACATATTCTTTATCTCTGACTTCAGTGAAGCTCTGAACCCAAAAATTCATCATTTTCTTCTCACTGTTGCTTTTCCCCTTGAGCTGGGAAGTACCCATAGAAGTGTTAAGTCATAATAACTACACTTATTGAATTCCAATATATACCAACATTGTATTAGACACTATAGATATGAAATTTTTAATTCATGCTCTCAAACAGCTTCTGGGAATAGTATCTTATAGAAAAATTGGATTGTTCCAGGGGAAACATCAGGAATATGTTTCTGAAGAAAATATTTTATAGGAAGCCCTGGCATATTTTCATTTTCAAGACTAATTTAAAACAACATTAGTGGCATGTACTAGATTTTTCTGAAATATGAGTGAACGCTAAGGAAAAACGTCATCAATTTTCAAAATACCTCAGGTTAGGGTAGGGAATATGTAAAAAGCCTTTGGTAGACAAACATAAAGAGCACTTTCCATGTTTCTCTGTATACATATGTGAAGAAAGAGCAATGGCTTCAAATCTGACTAGCTTTTGTTTGTTTGTTTGTTTTTCAAAATCTTTTCTAAGAATTGCCCTAGTGGAAAACATTCCTGAAGGCCTTAACTACTCTGAAGATGCCCCCTTTCACTTGCCGCTTTTCCAAGGCTGGATGAACTTACTCAACATGGCCAAAAAATCAGTTGACATAGTGTCTTCCCATTGGGACCTTAACCACACCCACCCATCAGCATGTCAGGTAAGCCACATCCTCTATGACTGTGATGGTTTTATGTGGGTTATGCACGCTTACTGTCCTGACCCCCCCACAAAGCCAGACCAGCTCAGTTTTCAAAGTCCACCTTCCCCCAGAGCTTATGGACAGTTACTCATTTATGCATTTAGGCAGATGTTCCATCATTAGTCATGTGTCATTCAGCTACAACAAGCACCCCAGTTTCTCTTTCAGGGAAAAACCGTGTTTCATCTTGGTCCACAAGAGGCTCTCTGTAGAACACTGCAAAGCTGCATGGCTTCGAGGATGCCATCCATAACACCTTACAACAGCATGGCCTATAATTCTGCTTCTTGTAGCATGTGTGCTTACACTTCTGTCTGCCTGCTGAGGTGTGTAGTTGGTCAAATTGTGTTAAACAATTCACCTTCAAGGCCTCTGAGCAACCTTTTTAAAATAATGACGTCAAACTTCCCAAGATAGTTATATAGTTTTGACTCTGTCATTTTTGGATAGACAAGAAAAAGGTAATTTCTGAATTAAATAATCTGAAGTAAAAATGAAAAAGATCCTTGCAATTTTTAGTGTCTTTTTATTTATGTTGGTTAAACCGTGTTGATTTGCGATAAACTCTTATCCAGGTATATGGCCATTGGCGTATTTTAAATGTCCTTTATGGGTCATGGGTCAAATTAGTTTTGTTGGTTGGCATACATCATCACTGTTTATTGCTGTCCTGAAGTCTGCTACTTATCCAGTTATAGCACTTTGACTATTTTAAAGTAGTGATTATCAGAAAATAGGTAAAGACAAACAAAAATCACAAGGTCATACTGAAGTCTTTGAGTGAGTTTATTGAATTATGCTGTGTTCAGTGTGTTCCCACGTCTACCATTTAAGCATGTCTTTCAGGTTTTATTGTTGTATAATCTCTCACACACAATTTAGTGACCGAGGAAACAAAGATCATTTACTTTATTTGTGGTTTGAAGTGGGGTTCGGCAGTCAGTAACTTCCGTAGTAATTGGGAGATAGATTACCTCATGCCCGAGGATCCAGGATGAGTGGAATACAGTCATCATGCCAACTAAGGGGGGTGAAATGTGTGGAGTGGCTGGACCTCTCACAGAATTCTGTAAGTGGACTTGAGTTCTTATATTGTGGTTGGATCCATAAAAGAAAAAGGGCAGAAGCATAGAGGCTTGTTAACCTGGAGGTTGGCATTCCAGATTGCTGCATCCATCACATTTATTGGTTTAAGCAAGCCATACATACAAAAGATGAGAGGAGACACATCAACCGGCTGGTTGCCATCTTTGGAAATGATATAAACCACAGACCACTTTCTGACCACAACAATTCATTCTCTTCCACATGCAAAATACAAGCCACTGTATTCCTTGAAATGCAATTGAACCCATGGCATGAAAGGCTCACTGCTTTGGACCTACATGCAAGCTTCTCTTCCTTGGAAATGTAGGTTTAAAAGACTTTTCGTATGCCCTAATAACCCTCCAAACATGCAGTGTCGAGGCAAGGATGAGATGATCATGGGCACTTGTGTTCAAAAGGAAAGGAAAGGGGAGAACCTCAGGCATTAGCCTGACCCACCATAGCACATAGCTTGAGTTTTACAATTTTAGAAGCAGGAATGAGTTCTAGGATCTAATTGTGGATATCTTGTTTGCTCATTTGTATTTTGTTTGTTTGTTTTGAGACAGGGTCTTTCTAGGTGGCCCTGGCTGTCCTGGATCTTGCTCTACAGATCAAACTGGCCTTGAATTCATAGAGGTCCACTCGCCTCTGCCTATCAAGTACTAGAATTCAAGTCATGTGCCACTATGCCCAGCTAGGATCTACTTCTTTATAAGTAGTTTACCAACTGGTTCATCTCATAAGTTGTGTCTGTCTGTATATTTTTCTTTAATTGTGCTGGGAATGGAACCCAGGGCATTGTACATTCCAGGAAAGTGTTCTGCTGTGGAGTTGAAACCTCGGCCCTTATTATTTTCCTACAAGAAATGGATCAAGTTTCCTGTATGTTCTTTGTAATGATGATGGATTTTATTTACTTTGGTTTTTGGGGACAGAGTCCCATGTAGTTTAGGCTTCCCTCAAACCTGCTGTGTAGCCAAGGTGATCCTGAATGTCTGGTCCTCTTCCCTTCACCCTTCAAGTGATGGAATCACTAGCATAAATCACTGCATCTATTCAATGCTGAGGATTGAACCCAGGGCCTCATGCATGCCAGGCAAACACTCTACCAGCTGAGCCACATCTTCTGCCTCCTTTTCTCTCTTTTAAAGAAACTATCCTTTATTTAATGGAGAATAGTCAAACATGAAAGCTATTGCTAAGCTAACAGAGCCTGCAAAGTGCTCGAGGGGACCATAAACAGCAAAGAGATGAACAGGAAGTATAACCCAAAGCACCTATCTATTTATTACAATGCAGCTGTAAGCAAACTATACAGAGGAACTGTAGACAGTGGCAGGCACCCAGCTCAGCAGCAGACAGACACAAATAAATATCGTCTCTGGGATCTGTATCTCCTCTAGATGAGAAGTTAGCTTGTAAGAAAGAATGGTGGCTGATATTAGCAGTAGTGATGAGTTTGGGCTTTATAAAAATATTGCATGGAGATTGATATCAGTTAAAAATATCTGTCCCCAAAGGGCTGCTGTGTGTGTCTATCTGTGTGTGTGTGTGTGTGTGTGTGTGTGTGTGTGTGTGTGTGTGTGTAAGAGTGCATATGTGTATGTGTGCTTGTGTGTGGAAGGCCAAAGGTCAACTTCAGCATCATTCCTTAGAAACTGTACACATTGTTTGTGAATACCGGGTTTCTGAATGGGTCACTTCAATAATGATTAGGCTGGACTATTGGGTCAGTCAGTGAGCCTTTGTCTGATCCCCTAGTCATGGAATTACAATGTGCTCTACCATGCCCATATTTCCATGTGAGTCTTGAGGATTGAGCATAGGTCATCATGTTTACACCAAAAGCACCCACAAAGCTGTCTCCAAGCTCCAGGGATGCTGTTTTGATCCCCACTCTAAGCCCCCATTTTGTCTTCCTTCCATCTCACTAGGTTTGTTAACCTTTGGGTCTGTTTCCTTCTGTGCTTTGCACTGCAAAAAGGCCCAGTTGAGGGCTGGTAGAGCCTGCAGTGTCAGGGCAAGCATACCTCACAATTAAAGAAAATGCTTGGTCAGGAAAAGAGAATTTCTTTCTTCATCCAGGATGATGACTTTAACCAATAGGATATTAAAATTTGCAGGACATTCTGATTGCTAATTTATGAGATCAAATGATAGGATTTTATGAAATCAAGACTTTTTGGGAAAAGCCAGAGGCTGATCAGTATATCTACCTAACTCATGTAGTGAGAGTGCCGGTTCTTTCTGACTTCACTGTGAGGCAGAAATGAAATAATTAATGAGCTGAAACAATGGAATGTTGAAGAGAGGCATTTATGTGAAATCAATTAGATGCTGGCCTCCCAGAGAGCTCCCAATTGGCATGATTGCCAACTGATAATACATTAAAATTGTTTGATCTGGGGAAATTTGGATTGTTTTTAAATTACACAGGATTTGGTGGAGTTAATGAGGAGTAAGAGAGTGCAATGATCCAGAAGGTCGTTTGCAAAGTACAGCTTGGTCCTGTCTCCACACATCAAGTGGTTAGCACATCCCTGAAAACCTGCAGGACTTGCCTACTTAGCAGCTGTGTGATCTCAACCAGATACAGGACTATCTGTCCTCCATTTCCTCAGCATCAAAGCCAGGATGATAGCAGATACTGTAGATTAAGTTAGAGCCTGTGTGCACTTATTACTACCATAAATGCCATTGTGTACATTCACCCATCTGTCCATACACCGCAACTCTTCTTCCAGTCAGTTTAATACTGTTAACGATTAATGAGTTAGAGGCTTCACTCTAGTAGAAGCTGCATGATTACCCTTAAAAAGGCAATTACAAGAATGAGACCCTAGTGAGATGAGGATTAGGTAAACTATCATGCTATGTAAAATTCTGACCTTCTTCTTATTTATTTGTTACAAAGTTTTATGCATGTGCACAGAGAGAGAGAGAGAGAGAGAGAGAGAGAGAGAGAGAGAGAGAGAGAGAGAGAGAGAGAGAGAGAGCACAGACACATAGTCTTTCACCATCTGTTCACTAGGCTTTGACTAACTCACTCACTGAAGAACACATTCCCTATCCCTGGTGTTCAGGTAGTCAGGATCCACCTCAGCTTTGGTAAAGATCTGAAACACACCCCAATTGACACCTTCAAAATCCCTTTCTTAAGAATTCTATAAGCTTATGTTTTACCTTTCTGTTGGTTCATCAATCATTATCTGATAAAGTTTTTTTTCTTTTGGGGGGTGAGGATGATAAGGTATATTTCAGTTTATAGTTCCATATCGTAGTTCATCATTGAAGAAAGTCAGGACTGAAACTCGTGGCAGGAACTGAAGTAGAGACCATAGAGGAACGCTGTCCCCTGGCTTTATCCCCAGGGTTTACACAGCAGGGGTGGTACCTCTTACAGTGAGCTGGATCCTGCTGTATCAACCATCAGTCAAGAAGAAAAGATGTCCCCAAGTGTTTGTCCATAGGCTGATCTTGTGGGAACATTTTCTTCAGTTATGATAGCTTGTGTCAAGTTGATATAAAATTATCCATTACATAAAGTTTTTATCTGGTAATATTTTTGACGAATTTGATCTTAGAAAAGTACAATTTTATTAGAAAATAATCTCCAACCTCAGTCTATATTTGCTGAGATTAAAATCAAAACAAATCAGGCTTGGTGGAACATGCCTATAATCTCAATGAACAGAAGGGAGGACTTGAGGCCATGCTACAAGGCAAAGGATGTACCCTGCTGTCCTGAATCCCGAGGTCATACCCATGGTGGACTCCTATCTCCAGGGTCCATCTGGTAGCTTGCCCATTCCTTCCTTGTGGCAGTAATGTTCCTTTGCTTCCTCTTACTTATAAAGCTTTTCCTTGTT